ATTTAACGGAATACTTCGAGATACACTCCTTCACTCAGTTTTAACAGCATTATACACTCCTATCCCATTCTTGTACTACACTCTCACGTCCCTTTCAAATCCATAGAACTATTACTTCTTAAAAATATTTTCATACAAGCATAAAACATACATTTTCATTGTATTTACCAATACCCACTTACTCGAAAAAGATAATCGCCGGTAATAGAATACAAACTAAAGCTAACGTATCAAAGAAAACGTTACAGTCCTCTATTCAACCATAGAAAACGCAGGAATGTTATATTAGAATGGGTAAACTATATAAAAAGTATTTCACAATTTGCATTTCGCTCATTATTGATACGTATCGTAATATAGATTAACCTTAGCTATGATAAAAAGCTTCAGATTTTGAGCCTCTTGGTAATAAGTTTTGTTGCCCACTCAAAAAGAGATAATCGCCGGTAATAGAATACATATTAAAGCTAAGATATCAAAGAAAACGTTACTGTCCTCTATTAGACCATAGAAAACGCAGGAATGTCACATTAGACTCGATAAACTATAAAAAAGCATTATCACAATTTCTATTTAGCTTATTATTAATACGTATCGTAATGATATAGATTAACCTTAGCTATGATAAAATGCTTCAGAATTTGAGACTCTTGCCAATGAGTTTCGTCGCTCAATGCTGTACGATCACCTCTGCCAGTCAGCTTGCATATCTTAGAAGTGTGATTTTTTAACACAAATAAATTATCTGTAGAAACCACATTGGATAGTTTTAAGAACACCAAAGAAAATAAGTAAACAAAAGAAAATAAAAAATTACTTGGACAAATTTCGAATTGGGGCGCGAGCTCGCGTCACTCTTCTCAGCTATCTAGTGTACGTTACTAAATAGTGTAATAAGCTATGGAATCGTAGTATATGAACACTATAACTTTGAAATGTTAGTAATTGAATGTATCCGATTAAAAATGTGGAACGCTTCACGATTTTGCGTGTCATCCTTGCGCAGGGGCCATGCTAATCTTCTCTGTATCGTTCCAATTTTAGTATATGTACTGCCGAAGCAAGTACAATACTTTGTGGTTTCTGGGTTTTAAACTTCATATTGATGTCTTTAGATTTAAGAAATTCTTTATCCCAATGACAGCTGATTTGTTGAATATGAGATATGCAGTATCCACATTCATTTACATCAAACATTCCTTGATTATACGAGTCACTCGTAATAGTCGAAAACAAATTTCGATATATTTCTCTGCTGTTTCCGGTTTAATGGCTAATGTATCAGATTATGATCCAGGTGCGAGTGAATAAGTGTTATATACATTTACGTCCTCACAGAATACAAATGAAATTGCTTTACTGAAATCAAAAGAACTAAGTCTGCCTGTGTTGGTAGGGCTACTACGAGCCACACACTCTCGGGCGTGATCCCACTACTGCTCGACACGGGTGCTTTTGGCTGCTGGGTTTCCCCCCTGGCCCGGTTCACACCTCCTTAGTCAACCTGGACGCCCTTGGCTCCCCAAGGGTGGCCATATTGATGCCAAGCTTAGTGCGGACACCCAATCAACATGGGTGATCCCGCAGCAGTGATCCCAACCTCAAGCCATCCTATAGTCCAAGCCACCGAGTCGCCGGTTTACAGAGCCTCGCCACAGACCCCAGCTACTGATACTACGCTTGGAAGGGTTTATAACCTTAACAAAGTATTCACATCTACTTATTTATTTAGGTGTTGTAATTTAGGTAGTTTGTAGAGGGAAAATAAATTCTTTACACCTATATATACACATCCATAAACTCCTATGTATGTATGCATGTGTGTATATATATGTATCGTAGGTATATATGTATATATATACGTTTATAGTTACACACACATATGCATTATATGTTTATATTATATATTATATATATGCAAATTTACATATATGCATGATACATTTTAACTTTTGTATATATAGAAAGATGCGCGCACACATACACACACGCCCACATACACACGGATATGTATAATGTACAGATTATATCGGCGATATGACACATCGTTTCCTTTATACATATTTTAGATAACTGTGGAAACGTATTAACGGACTTGAATCACAACGGTGTATGGAGGGTTCGAACCGCACAACTTTCTATTGAATCCTCGGTGCCTTGTATTTCTAATATATAAAAATGCCTTTCTCCATTCCAGTTTTCTTTATTAACAAGCAATTATGATGTAAAATGCGACGACATAAAAATGTGTCAGGTGCCGCAAGTGCGACAGTGCCTTGACAGTATATGTGTTGTCCGTCCTTATCAAGGGGAGTGCTAACTTTCTCTCCTTTCGTACAACACAGTCGTCACCTTGGTCGACCGGCGTGTGGTACCTCGGGAGACACAACTTTCAGTAAATACAGAATACATGTGTTATTCAAGGGTATGTCTAGTGGATCTACTGTCATTTAATGGTAGTTTGGAACAAAAACTGCTAATGTCATTTAATGGTAATTTGGAACAAAAACTGGTTATGCTATATTCCATTGTCATAGTATTATGGTGATAATAAAACGTAATCAGAACTCTTTAGTTAGCCATTCCATGTAATTTGTTATGATAGACATTTAAACTGATTGATTATTGAGGTACATGGAACAAAGCCAGTCAATAATGAACAAGACACAAAAGTTCATGAACTAAGGGGATAATGCAGAGTTGTAATATTAAAATTACCATTATGAATTCGGCATCCGATGCAACCCATGTCCTCTGGTAGGAAATACTAAAAGTGAAAACTTATTATTTTTTTTTTACAGTGATTTAGTTTCAATTTAGCGAAGTATGCTTGATAAATTGATGTAATCCTCAAACTTTTGGGTCTGCCAAAGATTGCTAAGGTATACGTCATGTTAGACCTTGGATGCCGGGGCGCGAACGCTCGTCACCAACATGCCTCGCTCCAGAGAAAGCATAATGGATAATACCACGCGATATGATTTATCAACAAGGATGTATCTTTGAAGCAAAGTCACTGAAATATATGCGACTAAAAATGTGGAACGCTTCACGATTTTGCGTGTCATCCTTGCGCAGGGGCCATGCTAATCTTCTCTGTATCGTTCCAATTTTAGTATATGTACTGCCGAAGCAAGTACAATATTTAGGGTGGTTTCTGGAGGTTTTAAACTTCATATTGATGTCTGTTAGATTTTAAGAAATTCTTTATCCCAATGACAGCTGACTTGTTGAATATGAAATACGTAGTATCCACATTCATTTACATCAAACATTCCTTGATTATACGAGTTACTCGTAATAGCCGAAAACAAATTTCGATATATTTCTCTGCTATTTCCGGTTTAATGGCTAATGTATCAGATTATGATCCAGGTGCGAGTGAATAAGTGTTATAAACATTTACATCCTCACAGAATACAAATGAAATTGCTTTTATGAAATCAAAAGAACTAAGTCTGCCTGTGTTGGTAGGGCTACTACGAGCCACACACTCTCGGGCGTGATCCCACTACTGCTCGACACGGGTGCTTTTGGCTGCTGGGTTTCCCCCCTGGCCCGGTTCACACCTCCTTAGTCAACCTGGACGCCCTTGGCTCCCCAAGGGTGGCCATATTGATGCCAAGCTTAGTGCGGACACCCAATCAACATGGGTGATCCCGCAGCAGTGATCCCAACCTCAAGCCATCCTATAGTCCAAGCCACCGAGTCGCCGGTTTACAGAGCCTCGCCACAGACCCCAGCTACTGATACTATGCTTGGAAGGGTTTATAACCTTAACAAAGTATTCACATCTACATAGTTATTTAGGTGTAAGTTTGGTAGTTTGTATAGGGAAAATAAATTTCTTTATGTCTATATATACACATCCAATACTCATATGTATTTATGCATACATGTATGTGTGTATGCATGAGTGTATATATATGTATATATTCATATATATGTTTATATTTACACATATGTTTATATTATATGTATTGTATATATGCACATACCTACACATATGCATGATCCATTCTACCTTTTGTATATAAACAAAGATGCGCGCACACACACGCCCACATACACACGGATATATTATGAATTCGGCATCCGATGCAACCCATTCTCTGGTAGGAAATATTACTAGTGAAAACTGACAGTGATTAGTTTCACTTTATTGTTGTTGATAAATTGATGTAGTTCTCCAACTTTTGGGTCTGCCAGAGATTGCTAAGGTATACGTCATGTTAGACCTTGGATGCCGGGGCGCGAACGCTCGTCACCAACATGCCTCGCTCCAGAGAAAGCATAATGGATAATACCACGCGATATGATTTATCAACAAGGATGTATCTTTGAAGCAAAGTCACTGAAATATATGCGACTAAAAATGTGGAACGCTTCACGATTTTGCGTGTCATCCTTGCGCAGGGGCCATGCTAATCTTCTCTGTATCGTTCCAATTTTAGTATATGTACTGCCGAAGCAAGTACAATACTTTGTGGTTTCTGGAGGTTTTAAACTTCATATTGATGTCTGTTAGATTTTAAGAAATTCTTTATCCCAATGACAGCTGACTTGTTGAATATGAAATACGTAGTATCCACATTCATTTACATCAAACATTCCTTGATTATACGAGTCACTCGTAATAGTCGAAAACAAATTTCGATATATTTCTCTGCTGTTTCCGGTTTAATGGCTAATGTATCAGATTATGATCCAGGTGCGAGTGAATAAGTGTTATAAACATTTACATCCTCACAGAATACAAATGAAATTGCTTTAATGAAATCAAAAGAACTAAGTCTGCCTGTGTTGGTAGGGCTACTACGAGCCACACACTCTCGGGCGTGATCCCACTACTGCTCGACACGGGTGCTTTTGGCTGCTGGGTTTCCCCCCTGGCCCGGTTCACACCTCCTTAGTCAACCTGGACGCCCTTGGCTCCCCAAGGGTGGCCATATTGATGCCAAGCTTAGTGCGGACACCCAATCAACAGCAGTGATCCCAACCTCAAGCCATCCTATAGTCCAAGCCACCGAGTCGCCGGTTTACAGAGCCTCGCCACAGACCCCAGCTACTGATACTACGCTTGGAAGGGTTTATAACCTTAACAAAGTATTCACATCTACTTATTTATTTAGGTGTTGTAATTTAGGTAGTTTGTATAGGGAAAATAAATTTCTTTATATCTATATATACACATCCATAAACTCCTATGTATGCGTATATATATGTATATAGTATACGTATATATATATATATATGCACATATATACATATATGCATGATACATTTTAACTTTTGTATATATAGAAGATGCACACACACACACGCCCATACACACGGATATGTATAATGTACAGATTATATCGGCGATATGACACATCGTTTACATTATACATATTTTAGATAACTGTGGAAACGTATTAACGGACTTGAATCACAACGGTGTATGGAGGGTTCGAACCGCACAACTTTCTATTGAATCCTCGGTGCCTTGTATTTCTAATATATAAAAATGCCTTTCTCCATTCCAGTTTTCTTTATTAACAAGCAATTATGATGTAAAATGCGACGACATAAAAATGTGTCAGGTGCCGCAAGTGCGACAGTGCCTTGACAGTATATGTGTTGTCCGTCCTTATCAAGGGGAGTGCTAACTTTCTCTCCTTTCGTACAACACAGTCGTCACCTTGGTCGACCGGCGTGTGGTACCTCGGGAGACACAACTTTCAGTAAATACAGAATACATGTGTTAATCAAGGGTATGTCTAATGGATCTACTGTCATTTAATGGTAGTTTGGAACAAAAACTGCTAATGCCATTTAATGGTAATTTGGAACAAAAACTGGTTATGCTATATTCCATTGTCATAGTATTATGGTGATAATAAAACGTAATCAGAACTCTTTAGTTAGCCATTCCATGTAATTTGTTATGATAGACATTTAAACTGATTGATTATTGAGGTACATGGAACAAAGCCAGTCAATAATGAACAAGACACAAAGTTCATGAACTAAGGGGATAATGCAGAGTTGTAATATCAAAATTACCATTATGAATTCGGCATCCGATGCAACCTATGTCCTCTGGTAGGAAATATTACTAAAAGTGAAAACTTATTTTTTTTACAGTGATTTAGTTTCACTTTATCGAAGTATGCTTGATAAATTGATGTAGTTCTCAAACTTTTGGGTCTGCCAGAGATTGCTAAGGTATACGTCATGTTAGACCTTGGATGCCGGGGCGCGAACGCTCGTCACCAACATGCCTCGCTCCAGAGAAAGCATAATGGATAATACCACGCGATATGATTCATCAACAAGGATGTATCTTTGAAGCAAAGTCACTGAAATATATGCGACTAAAAATGTGGAACGCTTCACGATTTTGCGTGTCATCCTTGCGCAGGGGCCATGCTAATCTTCTCTGTATCGTTCCAATTTTAGTATGTACTGCCGAAGCAAGTACAATACTTTGTGGTTTCTGGAGTTTTAAACTTCATATTGATGTCTGTTAGATTTTAAGAAATTCTTTATCCCAATGACAGCTGACTTGTTGAATATGAGATACGTAGTATCCACATTCATTTACATCAAACATTCCTTGATTATACGAGTTACTCGTAATAGTCGAAAACAAATTTCGATATATTTCTCTGCTGTTTCCGGTTTAATGGCTAATGTATCAGATTATGATCCAGGTGCGAGTGATTAAGTGTTATAAACATTTACATCCTCACAGAATATAAATGAAATTGCTTGAATGAAATCAAAAGAACTAAGTCTGCCTGTGTTGGTAGGGCTACTACGAGCCACACACTCTCGGGCGTGATCCCACTACTGCTCGACACGGGTGCTTTTGGCTGCTGGGTTTCCCCCCTGGCCCGGTTCACACCTCCTTAGTCAACCTGGACGCCCTTGGCTCCCCAAGGGTGGCCATATTGATGCCAAGCTTAGTGCGGACACCCAATCAACATGGGTGATCCCGCAGCAGTGATCCCAACCTCAAGCCATCCTATAGTCCAAGCCACCGAGTCGCCGGTTTACAGAGCCTCGCCACAGACCCCAGCTGCTTATACTATGCTTAGAAGGGTTTATAACTTTAACAAAGTATTCACATCTACATATTTATTTAGGTGTTGTAAGTTTGGTAGTTTGTATAGGGAAAATAAATTTCTTTACATCTATATATACACATCCATAAACTCCTATGTATGTATGCATACATGTATGTGTAAATGCATGAGTGTATATATATTTATATATGTTTATATTTACACATATACATTTATATGTTTATGTTATATGTATTATATATATGCACATATTTACACATATGCATGATACATTTTAACTTTTGTATATATACAAAGATGCGCACGCACACATACACACGCGCCCACATACACACTGATATGTATAATGTACAGATTATATCGGCGATATAACACATCGTTTACATTACTACTGTCATTTGATGGTAGTTTAGAACAAACACTGCTAATGTCATTTAATGGTAATTTGGAACAAAAACTGGTTATGCTATATTCCATTGTCATAGTATTATGGTGATAATAAAACGTAATCAGAGCTCTTTAGTTAGCCATTCCATGTAATTTGTTATGATAGACATTCAAACTGATTGATTATTGAGCTACATGGAACAAAGCCAGTCAATAATGAACAAGACACAAAAGTTCATGAACTAAGGGGATAATGCAGAGTTGTAATATCAAAATTACCATTATGAATTCGGCATCCGATGCAACCCTTGTCCTCTGGTAGGAAATATTACTAAAAGTGAAAACTTTTTTTTTACAGTGATTTAGTTTCACTTTATCGAAGTATGCTTGATAAATTGATGTAGTTCTCATACTTTTGGGTCTGCCAAAGATTGCTAAGGTATACGTCATGTTAGACCTTGAATGCCGGGGCGCGAACGCTCGTCACCAACATGACTCGCTCCAGAGAAAGCATAATGGATAATACCACACGATATAATTTATCAACAAGGATGTATCTTTGAAGCAAAGTCACTGAAATATATGCGACTAAAAATGTGGAACGCTTCACGATTTTGCGTGTCATCCTTGCGCAGGGGCCATGCTAATCTTCTCTGTATCGTTCCAATTTTAGTATATGTACTGCCGAAGCAAGTACAACACTTCGTGTGGTTTCTGGAGGTTTTAAACTTCATATTGTCTGTTAGATCTTAAGATATTCTTTATCCCAATGACAGCTGACTTGTTGAATATGAGATACGTAGTATCCACATTCATTTACATCAAACATTCCTTGATTATACAAGTCACTCGTAATAGCCGAAAACAAATTTCGATATATTTCTCTGCTGTTTCCGGTTTAATGGCTAATGTATCAGATTATGATCCAGGTGCGAGTGAATAAGTGTTATAAACATTTACGTCCTCACAGAATACAAATGAAATTGCTTGAATGAAATCAAAAGAACTAAGTCTGCCTGTGTTGGTAGGGCTACTACGAGCCACACACTCTCGGGCGTGATCCCACTACTGCTCGACACGGGTGCTTTTGGCTGCTGGGTTTCCCCCCTGGCCCGGTTCACACCTCCTTAGTCAACCTGGACGCCCTTGGCTCCCCAAGGGTGGCCATATTGATGCCAAGCTTAGTGCGGACACCCAATCAACATGGGTGATCCCGCAGCAGTGATCCCAACCTCAAGCCATCCTATAGTCCAAGCTACCGAGTCGCCGGTTTACAGAGCCTCGCCACAGACCCCAGCTACTTACACTACCCTTGGAAGGGGGTACGGTATTCACTTTTTTAACAATAGAGTATTCACATGTACATAGTTATTTACGTGTTGTAAGTTTGGTATTTTGTATAGGGAAAATAAATTTCTTTACATCTATATATACACATCCATAAACTCCTATGTATGTATGCATGCATGTATGTTATATGCATGAGTGTATATATATTTATATATTCATATATATGTTTATATTTACACATACATTTATATGTTTATGTTATATGTATTATATATAATGCACATATTTACACATATGCATGATACATTTTAACTTTTGTATATATACAAAGATGCGCACGCACACATACACACGGATATGTATAATGTACAGATTATATCGGCGATATGACACATCGTTTCAATTATACATATTTTAGATAACTGTGGAAACGTATTAACGGACTTGAATCACAACGGTGTATGGAGGGTTCGAACCGCACAACTTTCTATTGAATCCTCGGTGCCTTGTATTTCTAATATATAAAAATGCCTTTCTCCATTCCAGTTTTCTTTATTAACAAGCAATTATGATGTAAAATGCGACGACATAAAAATGTGTCAGGTGCCGCAAGTGCGACAGTGCCTTGACAGTATATGTGTTGTCCGTCCTTATCAAGGGGAGTGCTAACTTTCTCTCCTTTCGTACAACACAGTCGTCACCTTGGTCGACCGGCGTGTGGTACCTCGGGAGACACAACCTTCAGTAAATACAGAATACATGTGTTAATCAAGGGGATGTCTAATGGATCTACTGTCATTTAATGGTAGTTTAGAACAAAAACTTCTAATGTCATTTAATGGTAATTTGGAACAAAAACTGGTTATGCTATATTCCATTGTCATAGTATTATGGTGATAATAAAACGTAATCAGAACTCTTTAGTTAGCCATTCCATGTAATTTGTTATGATAAGACATTCAAACTGATTGATTATTGAGGTATATGGAACAAAGCCAGACAATAATGAACAAGACACANTGTGTGTGTGTGTGTGTGTGTGTGTTTGTGTGTCTGTGTATGTTTGTGTGTATGTGTATGTGTGTGTGTGTGTGGTGTGTGTGTGTGTGTGTGTGTAGATATGTATCATCTTATATATAATATTATATATTATTATCCTATTATTATATATATATATATATATATACATAATTATAACTATATAAACAATGTATTAGTATGTATAACTTCGGTTATACCATCATATATGTATAACATTATACACATACATAATCATATGTACATTGTGTCTAATGTACAACACCAGTTAG